TATTTTGCTTATCTTGCATAGAGTTCGTTGAAGGGGAGCCTTGACAGGTAAAGTTGTTGCCATGTGACCAGAAGGTTACAGGTTCAAACCGTGGAAATATCCTCTTGCAGAAATGCAAGGTAAGGTTGTGTACATTAGACCCTTGTGGTCCGGCCCTTCTCCGAACCCCGTGCATAACGGGAGCTTAGTGCACCGGGCTGTTTTTCGCATAGAGTTCATTAATTAGTTTTCTTGCAGTGGCTAACTCGCTATTTAGTTTTTCCAATTAATGGCCCATTACCAAGGAAAATCTGACGAAGCTTAGGAATGGAATAATATTGTGGGATTAAAAGTGCAATATTTGATAGGACCACTATATATACTTCAAACTTTGGTGAGAGATTTACTACTAAATGAATAATTGGTGTGCTAGCAGATTCTTATTTTATTTTATTTTAATTTTTGGCGTCTAGATTTCTCTCCGTTGTTGGAATTTCAAGTTCTACGAAAAAGTCCCCTTTGTACTAGTTTCCACAATCTGCATTATCAAATACGAGAATTCAACAGTGATAATACTGTTATTTGCACTTGTTACAAAGTATCACGTAACGATTCTTTAATCTAAATTATCAAATATATCAGTAATAAAATGCGGGTTTCTAGAAGATTTAGATGATCTGTTTTTCTTTTTCCCCTATGTTAAAATAAATAACTATTAACTAGGAACAAAATATACTCCTAATTTTGTAGCTTAAAATGCAGGTAACATCACACCTGTTGGGTCTTAATGGGCGTTTGGACATAAGAATTGTAAAGTTTCCAAAAAAAAAAAATTAAGTGAAAATAGTATTTGAAAATTAGAGTTGTGTTTGGATATGAATACCATTTTGGGTTGTATTTTAAGTTTTGTGAGTGATCTGAGTGAAAATTTTGAAAAATTATTTTTTGGAGTTTTTAGTTTTCGAAAAATTTCAAAATTCATCTTCAAGTAAAAATTAGAAATTTTATAACCAAACACTGATTTCGTACAAAAAATAAAAAAAAATTCAAAAAAAAAGTAAAAGAAATCTTATGTCCAAACGGGATCTTAATCAACAGATAATTTTTCAGATTGTTGTCTCTCCAGCATTACCTGACAGCAGAATCTACATGGACTTTCTATCAAAAAAGGGGATGCTGATTCTGCCTAATCAATTATTAAAGTGACGTAGGAATTTAGGAATGAGGGCCCCATCAAAAAAAATGAAAATGTCTTTCTTTTTTTTTTTTTTTTTTTTTTTTTTTTTTTTTTTTTTTTTTTTTTTTTTTGGCGAGAAAATGAGTATCCAGGTAAGATTTAAAAGTTATAATGCCTACGACTATCTCAAGTTAATATATAATAATACTTTAATTTTTATTTAAATTTTTATTAATCTATATCTATATTATATGAAAAGTACGATGGCCCTTAACAAAATGTCGTTCGCTTTTATTACCCTTTTAAAATAGAACTCATATTAAACAAAACCGTTTTTACCTAATTTCCTAATATTTAGGAGTTTGAAACTAAATAAAATTTGACTGCTAAGTTTTTCTTTATTTGGGTATAAAAAATCCTAATATTTAACTTATATAAATATATTTCTTATTTGAATTTAACTAAAATTACTATTAACTTATCGTTATGAGTATGTTTCTTCCTAAAAGTTAACTCTCTCACGTAATATAACATATACTTATTTGCTTTATAAATATGGTTATATGTTTCAAGACACAAGCTAACCTAATTAAAACTTAAAAATCTAAACATTCCAGCAACTTTATTATGTGTGTTGCATAAGCACATCATGTCAAGCAATATGAGACGTAAATAAGAATAATAAGTGGAAAATAGCAAGTGATATTAAACAAAGTGCATATCTGATTAAATGATTAAAATAAATATTTAGTATATATTAATTTGAATATTTGAGAGTATAAAATAACTCTTCAATTCTAGAATAACACTAACAAAATAATAAAAATATTTAGATACCTAATAACCTAAAAATTTATGGAGTAATTTATGTGAAGTCAATTATTATCATTAAATTTAAGCTTCGATACTCTTTAAAAAAATTAAATTATTCCTTCAATAAATAAATCTATGTTAAATGTAAATTTTATCTAATTTTTAAAACTTTAAATTCAACTAATTAAGTGTTGTTGTAATTTTAATAAAATATGATTTAATGATCTACATTTGCATTAATTCTTTTTGATAGATGGGTAAAATATATCTATTTATCAATATATGTGTATATACATTCTATTATAAAAGTACGAAATTCTAATACGAAGTGTTGATAGATTTTCTTACCCTTCGTAAATGCTTTTCATGTCGGACAAATCAAAATTACAATTAATAATTAATTATGGCATACCTAAAATTAAGGATTTTGATGACTTTTACGTGACGGATCATTTTCCTTCATTAAGTTAGTTAAATAAAATCAACAATCATCAGTTTCATAGTTTTACAGTTTTTTCATTAACTTTTATTATATAACTCAAATATGAATTTTAAAATAGTGTTATGTGATTTTTTAGAAATCTCATATTCCTTGAGTCGAGGTTCACGCGTCAACGCGCGTATTCTAAGACTAGTATTTAGTATATTTTTAATGCATATAGTGAGCAAAAGCTTCGGGATTCATGTATCGAATTCATGCTAGCTATGTCTCTGCATGGACACGATATTAAAATAAGAAAAGAAAAGAGAGAAAAGACAATTTATTAAAAAGAATTATATAGCCATAATTGCAATTACGTCCTATATCAGTTAAATGTAGCGTTCTAATTCAAAGATTTCTGTTTCCCTTACTATTCCTAGACTCGCTATGTAATAAAAAAGGTTTAAAGAATTTTGTGCAAGTGGGTTTAATCTTAGAAGTATATAAGTTAAGTCGTAAAATAGTAGTTGTCAAGTGGGTTCAAATAAAATATTTATACAAAATTTACACATATTTAATCATAAATATATATAATATTATTTTTTGATAAAACGGTAATTGAACCCCTTCGCTTGTCACCACGTGCGTCGGCCACTGACACCTAATAAGACCAATAAATTACTATCTAGGTACTACAAATACTTGCTACTCGCTACTACTAGTGACATGGAGTAATAATATTCCCGGATGTTGAATAAATCTTGAGTAGTAAAAATTCTCCGAGATTTTATTATTCTTTCTATCCAAATGAAATTGTGCTGGTTGGACCATGAGAATCTAAATTATCTAATTTTCAGAGTGAATTCGAATATTATTCGAATTAAAATACACGTTAAGAAATTAAGTAAAATATATTAACGCAATTTTTCTTATAATTATAATTATTTAATAACTTTTTATGTAATAAGATCCCTGGAAATAATTTTTTACTTACAAATTGTAGTAACGTCAAAAAAAATTGTAACATAGGGAGTACATAACATTTCTCTTTGTGTCGCTAGTTCAGAAAATCTTCCGGGAGACGATGACACCGTTGTGAATGTCTAATTGACTTGACCGTTGTGTATTTGTCTTCAGATAAAAACACTATGATGATATGAACTACCGAAACAAGAATTCTTTAATTTATGGCCAAAAATTACTTCTCTTCCGATAGGCCCATGACCCTTAAATGCTGAAAGCGTTACAATTTAATTTGGTTAAAATAGCACGGTCTAACCAGTTTTCGGATGGTCATTCAAAAATAGTCAGCGTTTGTCAAGTCAATGAAAAATAACCCCTATTTTGCTGCAATAGAGACTGGTTCAGCATAATATACTGGAGTTCGGTGCACCTGTGTATGAACTTCCCGCATATTATACTGGACCGATATACTTTGCTGGCTCCAATATAATATACTGGAGACTGGAGCACCGGTGCTCCAAACTCCAGTATATTATGCTGAACCGATATATTATACTGGAACTCCTGTATATTAGACTGGAGTATTTTTCCGGATTTTGAATAGTGTTTTCGTTCAGATTTATCTTTACATGAAAAGTGGCTAAATTTCGATTATTTTTAAAACTGTAGCTATTTTTGAATGACCACTTGTAAATCTGGCTATTTTTGAATTTCTCCCTTTAATCTGGCCCTTATTGTTTAAATTCTTTCATTTGGTGTTAATACTAAATACATGTAAGTGTTATTTGTTATAACCAGGGTCATATCATTCGTCAGCGTTTTTGTCAAAATTGTATGAAATCGCATTTCTACTTTTAGCCCACAGCGCAACATCTAGTTAGCCCAACTAATGCTCAATTCCAGTCCCAAGTTCTAAAGAGAGTTGATGACCACTACTACTGGATTAGCCCAAAATCTACAGGTTTAACATCTCACCAATGGCATCTCATAGGCCCAAAACAGTTAGAAGAATTAATCCAAATAGTCGTTTATCCAATCGTTTAAATTAAAAATAGCTGCTAGATATATAATATATGCATAATTTATGTATTATATATGCTTAATTACGTATAGTCAAATTAAGCAATATAATATATGTATTATATGCTAGATATATAATATATGCATAATTTATTTATCTGACTAGAAAAAATAAACAATGAATGGCGGTGGATTTGGGGGTGAAATTAAAAAAATAGTCAGATTTATAAGTGGTAATTGTAAAATAGCACAATTTCAAAAGTAATCGAAATTTAGCCACTTTTCATATAAAGATAAATATGAACAAAAATACTGTTCAAAATTAAGAAAATATTTCAGCATAATATACTGGAGTTCGAATTTTTTACATGTGAACTTCCGACATAATATGTTGGAATTTCATAAATATGTTGGAATCCCAACATAATATGCTGGAAGTTCATATACATGTGCTTCAATCTTCAGTATATTATGCTAAATTTTTTCGTATTGCAGCAAAAAAGTGATTATTTAATGACTGTTATTTTTTAATTACCAGTTAAAAACTGGTTAGCCCATGCTTATTTTAACGTGGATTTGTGTACTTGCAAAAGCCCATTATTTAATAGCCCATTAAATTCTGCGGAGCTGAGAAAATTTTCTTTGTGACGCAAGAACCCTGCTCCAGTACCAAAACCCTTGCATACAAATCGGATCATCATCATAATCACCTGTTCATCTGCAATTGATTAACCGTAACGCTCAAGCAATTTCTGTGCTCTTGATATTGAGATATCAATCAGAAGTCCAGCTCCGAAATGGCGTTAACGAACTTTATACTGACGGTGGTGGGAGTGGGCGCCGTGGTTTTACTGGTGAGGAGCGACATCAAACAGTCTGCCTCCATCTTCAAGCGTAACGTCCGTCAAATTCGCCATTGGCTCGAGGAAGAGTCCGCTTCCGCCGCTAAGTATGTCTACTTTTAAGTATTTTGAGGAAAATTTTTGGAACTAATTTTGCAATTTGCGGTATTGCAAAACACAACAATATTCCATTGTTGTCAAAAGCTAGTCTAAGCTGTGCTTAAACCCTGAAGCTAGGTGCAAACAGCCTGAGCACTTCGCCTCGCTTAGGCGACGCTTTTGTATTGCAACTTTAGTTTCTTCATATCCTCTTTCTGCACGCAAATGGCTTTGGAATAGCTGTCTTATCATATGCAAGTAACTCTATTTATTTGGTAATAAAAGTGTATGCGTCTCGTACAGTTTTTTGCAACTTTCAAATATTCAAATTTACTGAGCTAGTCTCCCATAAAAAGTAGTCCGAGTTGTTCCTATCGAAGCTTGTGACGAGACCTCTCATGAAAATTAGTGGAAATGTTGTTTTCGTAAGAAACCATTACCTATTTGTAAGTTTTATAAATCTGAGCTCAAGCTCCAAGCTTGGCTGCCAGAGAAGAGAAGAAGTTCTGAGAGAGTAGCGTACAAAGGAAGCTAGGAAGTCATTTCTGTGTATTGTACTAGGAAGAAGGTGCCACCGAAACTTAAGGGTAAGTTCTACAAAGTGGTAGTTAGACCAACGATGTTGTATAGGGCTGGGTGTTGGCCAGCCAAGATTGCTCATGTCCAGAAGATGAAGGTAGCAGAGATGAGGATGTTGAGATAGATTCGCGATAAGGTGGGTGTGACCCCTATTGAGGACAAGATGCAGGAAACGCGGCTTAGGTGGTTTGGTCATGTAAGGAGGAGTAGCACAGACGCCCCGATGAGTAGGTGTGAGAGGTTGATAGGGCCTACGGAGAGGTAGAGGTAGGTCAAAGAAGAGGTGGAGAGAGGTGATTAGGCAAGACATGTCGCAGCTTCAACTGACCGAGGACATGACCCTTGATAAGAAGGTATGGAGGTCGATTATTAGGGTAGTAGAGTAGGTAGTGTAAAGTTATGTTGCTCGAACTCCGAAAATATCGCCGGGTGCGTGTCGGATTCCCCAAAAGCAGTGTATTTTTGGAGAATCCGACACGGGTGCGGCAGTATTTTGGAGAGTTCGCACAACATAGGTGTAAAGTATTCATAACAGTAGTGTTGGCACGCAGTCTCGCTTTTTGTTGGTAGTAGGTTTTTATGACTAACCGTTGTTTTCTTTCATTGTTGATCACCTTACTGTCTTGTTGTTTATTCTGCTTTTATATGGCATTTTGGTACTATCCCTTCTTGCCTATATTTTCATTAATGTGGTACTTATGCTATCCCGAGTCAATGGTCTATTGGAAACCGCCTCTCTATCCTCACAAGGTAGGGGTAAGGTCTGCGTGCATACTACCCTCTCCAGACCCCACGGTTTGGGATAATACTGGGTATGTTGTTGTTGTAACTAGAGTTAACTGACTTCAATACTATTCATTCATGGAACTTGAACAAATGTTTCATCACTCATGAGCTTTGTCTTGAAGCGGCAGCACTAAACAATAGTAACTACTCACTTAATTTTAGAAATATTTTCAATTCCTTTGTCCATATAATTGCATCTGTATTTATTGTTATGACTCTTAATTTTTATATCATATAATTTGCGCCTTTCTTCACAAAACCCGTTCTTCATTTGCGCTTAAAGTCCAACCAACTTTTAACACTTTCTTTTTTGCCTTTCATAATACTGCCATATCTGTATACTGTAGGAATCACTTCAAGTAATTTGAGTGGATTTCTGAGTGCAAAGTGCTTTAGGTAGTCATTAGTGAAGTATGCACATAAGTTGATTTATTTTCCTATTTCCTAGCTCCTGTGGGACAAAATCTATTGTTTTCTGTTTATTTCCGTAGAGAGATGTTTATTTCAATACTATTAAAATGTTTTCTTTTTGGGTAAATTTCTTAGATTTTTGAGATATCAGTGTTAAATGGTTTTTGTTTTCTCAGAGTAGCATTTAACTTTGTTCAAGTTTGCAATTGTCTCACATAAATATTCATGTTCTGGCGGTTATGTAGAACAGGCGCTAAACACACATGTTCACTTATTGATGTCATGTTTGTGTTTTAGCTTAAACTTGTATGACACCACTTGGACATGAGTCTGATGCCATCAATTTGTGTCCCGATTTGTTATCAGTTCTTACTTCTTTCAAATCAAGCTTTATATTCCTCTGTTTTGGACATCAAAATTTGTATCATTACTCGTATCTTTAATTTATCAATATAAGTTGAATACGTAGATGTTTCCACATTGGTTGAGGGATGAGTTGTTCCTTCAACTTGGTATTAGAGCCCAACCCATTCCTATCTTTAGTTTACCCATTGTTGGACTCCCATGGTACATTATCCATGCAGCAAATGTCCAATCCTAGATGGGGGAATGGGGATTATTAAGTGTCCCATATTAGGAGGGTATAAGCAATTTTCTTAGCAGTAGAATTGACTTATTTTATGCATAGTTAGAAAATTAAACTGCATTCCCTGTGAGAACTAAAACATAACCATTCATTGGAAAAGCAGAATTTGCCCTCTAGCCTGGGCAAGCACATTGCGAATCATCAATGTTTTGTGAGGTTATGATATATCCTTAGACTTTATGGTATGTTTCCTCGATACCTTTTCAATAATTGTATATGTTATGACTCATGAAATTGATTATATATTATTTATATTTCTATGATATATTTCAATAGCATGTTATAAGTTATATCCAGAATCTCTTCTTCTTATCTCCGTGTTTTAAATCTTATATTTTGACATTGTATTAACTTGTTTCCCTTTGTAAATTGCATCTTTTCCTTTTGCTTGTTCAGTTTATGAGTTGCACTCCTTCTGTCTGTGTGTGTCAGATGAACATGACATACCATTGTTTTTTCTGTAGGGAAATGGAGAAGGCAAAGCCAAAGGAGATACCTAAGAAGGACATTTCTAAGGAGGACAAGCATTAGGTTTGACTCAAGTTGAAATTCTTATCAGAAACTGTACAATTCCCTTTAATGTTTCAATTTTTTGGTCCGTAAAGTATTTTCTATATCATTTTCTAGCCCCTCAACTAGTGCCACTCTATGGTTGTTAAGGTTAACACTATAATGATTGGCGTTTGTATCCTGGTACAAATACTATTTTTCTTCTGATATATACTGAGATGTACAGATTAAGCAACAATGTGAAGATATTTGAACTGGTCGGCAGTAACTGGTTGTTGGACGCGATGCACAGTTGATTTTGATACGTAAGGATGAGCTATTTCACATTTCATGTTACTTCACAGAATGGAGTTTTCAAATTACTTTTGTCCTGAGCAGGGGCGGATTTAGGGGGGCGCAACCCCTTCGTCGAAAAAATACACTGTATATATAAGGCAAAATCTGTTTTTTACCTCTATATATTAAGTTTTGAACCCCCTTAACACAATCCAAAAGTGTAGTTTAGTGGTCAAGGGGGTTCAAAATCTACATAAGGTCATGAGTTCAATTCCCACTAGATACAAAATTTTTTTTTGAACCCCCTTCGTAGAGATCCTGCCTCCGCCACAAAAGAACTCTGTTTTGCAATTAGCATCTATTTTCTTGTGTCATGCTTGGTTGGGAAAATGAAAATTTTGAGCTTCAATGAGCCGGAGATGTGAACTGAATTTCTTGCTACTGCTCGTATTTCATCAGAAAATATTAAAAATCATTTTTGTTAGAACTATCATACTCGTAAATAACTTCTAAGTTAATGTCGTGTAAAAGACGAGAACACTGTCCTAAACACAGAGGGTGGCATGATATATGCTTACGTCAAAAAAATTAATTTCTGAAGCGAATGAAGAAATTGGTAACCCACATAGGAATATAGAACGAACTATCATCCTCTGCATAGTGACAACTTCTGTTTCCTTTATTATTCATTGAAAAATTATTATCCAACTTTCCAATTTAAGAAACAAAACCAGTAACGCATTCATACAGCATGTAACATATATGTTTTTATATTCGTAAGAAGAAGTAACTCGACATCCATAATTGTTATAAACACATAAATAAAAGGAATTTTTACCTCTTATAGCAAAGTTTAACACTTTATTTATTTTAAATAAATACCATTTGAAAAAATTATATTCTATAGATACCTTTTAATGTTTATAGCAAAATATCTAATTTTGGTTACCTCCCAAGCCACTAAATACGCTATTCAGTTACACTATTTTCTTTTTTCTCTCTACTTTGATACATGCCATTCTCTTCCCCCATTCCCTGAAAATACGATGCTCAATCTCAAAATTCCTCTCACCCGCATCACCTACCATTAGCCACGATGATTTTGCCTGGTATACCACGAAGATTTTTCTGACTTTTCTCCTTTAATTTTGTGCAACCCAAAATTTGGTCAATCCTTATGTGCTTCACGGGTCTTTCATTTGGAGAGGACTATATGTTGATGAAGGAGTTTTAGGTAGACAACAACAATATAGTTCTCCTGCAATACAAACACGTGTGATGGACGTTGTATAAGTTACATACCACTTGCAAAAAGACATGTAGTGTTCAGGGTTTTTGCTCGACGGCAGATTCGCCAGAAATTAGGGTTTGTTCTTGAACAAAGACGATGGAGTTTGGGGCTGAGCAACTTGATTTTCTATTAATATATTTTAATGTATTTTCAACGTATCATGCTGTATTTTTATGTATTTCATTGTATTCATTGTCTTTTTTGTCATTGTAATTCATTGTATCTCGTTGTATTCCATGTATTTCATTGTATTCACTGTTTTTTTTCATTGTATTTCAATGTATCCCACTGTATTCTATGTATTTCATTGTATTCACTGTCTCGCTATATGCCATGAATGTATTCATATATTTTTTCTAATTAATATAATTTATGTATTCAGATGTATTATATAATTTCTCTGAAGATTGCTATGTTTTTGGGGTATTTTACGGTTGAGAAGCTTTTTTATAACCGAAAATACAAAATTTGTGTGTTATAATTGAGTTTGTTAAGTTATATTAGGAGTCTATTATGTTAATTGATTTACTTTCCATTTAAAAACAGGGTAACCCCCTGTTTCACGCCGTGAATACAGTCGAATACAATAATTTGTCCAGCTGTAATTCCATGTTTCACGCCATGAATACAGTCGAATACAACAACTGATTAGCTGTACTTCCCTGATTCACGCCTATTTTTGCTACTGTATTCATGAATACAGTAGCTTAAATACATCTAATAACAACAGAAAACGTATCTACAATCCGTAATATAGCAAATGGTATCTATAGATAATTAATTACCACTAAAAGATAGTGCTTTATGAAAATTTCTCTAAATAAAATAGCATATATGAGTCCAACCATACCCTAATTAAATGAAAATATTAATAGAATGGAACTAAAAGAGACGCCATGCATCAAAGGCAACGATGAAATATCATTGGTTTTTGTAGAAAGTCCTCAAAGGTGACCAGCCTCCTCCATTCTAATTAAGTATGCTGCTATTGCTAGAGAAAAATAATAAACCATTGCAAGTGGCAACTGGCAGCCATGAGAGGAAGGAGACAAAGATGAAGTACAAACTAAAATCCAAAGTCAAAAAGAGAATATCAAATAAAAAAGAATCTTTTCACAGCAACCATGCATTATTCGTGAAATAATGTGTAGTAACGACTAGGAAAATTATATCTCCAGAACTCATATGTTTTAATCAATAGTAAATAGTACTATACATTTGTTTGATGCACTTACAACTCTAATGATCTTCAAGCAGCATTTATCTCTTGTTTTTGGCTGCCTCGTCAGATTATATATGACCCCTTTAATTTATTTGGAAGCATTAAAATAGGAATAATTAATGGGGAGGAATAATATGCATCTGATGGAGGATTTGTTCAAAATTGTCTGTGGGCTTGTCAATAGGATGAGTGTGCATGCCTTCATAAGTGGTGACCACAACTCCTTCATCTTTGGAAAGGCGTTGTACTTGCTTCTTCACATTGCATCCTTGATGTGTACATTTGTAGTAGCTTCTGCAAATTAACAAGAATCACCATACTATATACTATATTATATCAGCACCTTAAGAAACTAACTTAAATAGGTTCTGAATTGTCCTCTAGTAAAATTACCAACATGGCTATGTAAAGATTCAATTGGTGGACACCGTTGTTATTCAAAAGAGAAAAAGAAAATCTTTTTTATTGATCAGGCCGGTGTTAATATAATTACACACAAAAATGAGTGCAAGGTACTAATTAATTACTCCTCAAGATTCTTGGATTAACTACCCAGACCCTACGGTATGAAATAATATTGGGTATGTTGTTGTTAATTCTTGGATTAGCTAGATTGCAGTCGTCTGGATTCACGAGGGGATCGCAAGTTCCTTGTGCTAATTATTAAGACCAGCAAGATCTTAAATATTTATAAATACCAAATTTTCCCTTCTAAGTATAATTAACAATCAAAAACTGACTAGCTCACCAAAACAATGATGAAAGAAATTACAAGAAAAACTATTGTTCCCTCATCTCTTCCGTTTAGTTCCTTTGTTCGAAATTAAAACATGTACACAGGCTATGACTTGTATCTCATATAATCTTTCTAACTTAATTAAAAAGGTGACTATAAAGCATCTCATATAAGATCGCGTGATAACAACAACAACAAACCCAGTGTAATCCCATAAGTGAGGTCTAAGAAAGGCTGTGGGTATGCAGAAATACGAGAGTGGAGAAGCCATGAAAAAAAAGAAGCATAATCACAACAGTGTTGAAAAGAAATACATGCTCAAAGAGTGCTTTCCAGAAGATGGAGAAGGAGAGAATGCACTTACAGCCTCTCTCTCATATTCACCTGCAAGGCATGACATAGATAGTTGACAACAATAAAAAATATTAAAAAAAGGACTTGTGTTAGATTGACACTACAAATCTAATCCAAATAAAATAAATACAAAAAAGTATAGATGAGACGGTAGTGGAGAAGCCATGAATAAAAAACAGTAACAACACCAAGATAATAAAAAAACCGAAGGTATACCGCGATAACAAGGGCACTAAATCACAGTTTAAATTTTTCATTCATAACAAAAAAACTAAAGATAAGATAAATTGAGTATATGATGAGACATAACAACTACTCCATTTTAAGAAGGATAAGGTAGTGTTGAGACGAAAAAAATTACCTTGGGTAGTTGTTGTTCTTGACAGCTTTTTGTCCATATTTTCTCCAGCGATATCCATCATCAAGAATATCAACTTGGCTTCTTGTTTGGAAAGCAAATCTAGGCTTCTTAATTTTCTTATCCCCCTTTTTCTTAAGGGATGATATAATATTGGTAGTATGAATTTCTGATGAAACCACTCCCATAAGGCTGTTTTTGATGTTGGTTATGTTTTGCTCTCTTGCTGTAGAATTAGAAATCTCGGTCTTTAATCCCGAGGTCCATCCATTCATAGAGTTATAACCAATATTTATCGAATTTGAAAAGGAGTCAGAAGAAATGGTTCGAACACAGCTTGTTGAACCAAGAAAGGGCATCGACTGATTCTCCATTTATTGGTAGGATAAAAGAGCACCTTAATTTAAACTAGTTGGCTTAACTATATATGGTATGGAAAAAATATATGAAAATTTGGTGTTGTTATAGAAAGATACATATATGATCAAAATGGTTAAAGTTGTAAAAATAAAATGGTATATATAGTGATTTTGAAGGGCAGGTACGGTATTGTCTACATAATAACGTGGAAAATTAAGGTTACCGGCGGCTAGCTTGGTCAAGTCATCATTAACTTTGAGAAAAGGAAAATGAAAATTTGAGTGCGTAGAAAATTTGCACTTATAGCCAGTAGAATACGTGAAATACTTTGTCTTTGTCTCCATGGTATAGACTAAGGGAATATATGGACAAAACTTGAAAATAAATCAACTCCACGACATGTACAATTTATACTGGATTTACAACAACAACAACAACCACCCAGTATAATCCCACTTAGTGGGGTCTGGGGAGGGTAGTGTGTACGCAGACCTTACCCCTACCCTAGGGTAGAGAGGTTGTTTCCAAATAGACCCCCGACATCCTTCCCTCCAAGAACTTCTCACCTTGCTCTTGGGGAGACTCGAACTCACAACCTCTTGGTTGGAAGTGGATTTGCATATATTCAAAATTTTATTTAGACAAAGACGGGCTCATCCAGTCCATCATCTCTAACAAGTTGTTGAAAAATCAAATGATAATAAAGGAAAGAGAAATAAGGAAAATAATTGCATATATACAAGGGGAAAAAAAAAACTAAAATATGTCAATTAATTAGAAAACGAGTAAACCATTTTAGGTGCATGTAATATACGAGGTTTACAATAAAATAGAGGGTCAAGAAGAAAAAGAGAAAAGAGGTCTTTTTGAACTTTCTAAGAAAGTATAGACGACGCGGCTAGAGTCCATTTACGAACGTGCATACATAATCCATCACACCCGGATCCAGTGGCGAAGCCATAAATTTTCTGAACGATGTTCAAACTTGAAATAAGTAAAAAAAATTCCGACAAAAGGTATTCAATATATGTTATGTATCTCTAAAATCTAATATTTTACCTATCAAGGGCGGCCGAAGGACAAGGCTACTAAAGTCATTGCTTTAGGCTCCCAAAACTAAAAGGCCCCAAAAATATTACTAGGAGTTTATTATATTATTATGCTTAACATATACTAAATTTTATATAATAATTATTAATAAGAGATTTCAAGTTTTAACAATTTATTTTTTTAGTTGAGGTTATAAAGATGAGTTGGAAAATAATAATAAATTTTTTCTCTTAGTAGTTAGCGTATTTTGTCTTCCTCTTCAGTTTTAATTTTTCCTCCTCTAAGTTTATTCATTTCTTTTCATATTTTTGACTATTTTATTTTCTGACTTCAACTCACGGTCTCTGACTTAGCTACTTTATTTAGTCATAGTTTGATGGATCAATAGAAAGCACATTTTTGTGTCTCATTATTATATGAATTTTACGAAATAAATTTAAGAGGCCTTTTGATAGAGCTTCGCTTTAGGCCATTAAATCCGTTGAACCGTCTCTGTTATCTATATACGCAATGTAATTTTCCAATAAATAGCGGTCAATTAGCAAAGTGTAACTTCGCCCATGATCACACCGCTATTGATTAATGAAGCCAGTTTATTTGAATGAGACTTATCCTACTGTCAGTCTTTTCCACGAATAACTATATGCAATGATATTCAAATGTTGCACTGTTCATATAGTTTGAATCTCGAGAAACAAATTAAAAAGTGTCTCATAAATAAATAAATAAAATATCTCATCTTAACTGTTTAAATTTTCAGTTAAGACTTTACACATACATGCATAACTCTACAACAATTTATTATGGATGAGTACGTATTCTTTATGTATATTCAACTTTCTGATGGTGCACATACATATGATTTTAGATTTGTCTATTAGAAAGTAGCTAGGATAAGAATTAAGAGTACTAGTCCAAGCAATAATTGTGACAATGTAAATAGTTCCTTATTTTACATAATGTCCTTCTGGAAGCATAAGTGAATGTTTAATCTAGAAAGCCAACAAAAAAAAACTATATATACCATTTGTTTTACTACGTACGACGGCATTAATTCCTCTTTGATCTTGACGAGAGCAGTCATGCATGACACCAGAAAATTTGACTACTGCTCTAATTTAGTTTCTATCATTGAAAAAAAAAAATTATGTACATGTAATTTGATCAGCGGTGGAGCCAAATTTTTTTCAAA